AACGAAGGGAGTTGGAGGGACAGAGGCAAAACGAGCTTACCATGGTGGTTGATGATCAAGTACTGAACTCCTGATGCTTTCTACAAATAACCCAAGTTATGTAGTCCTTTCGTTCCGCCCCGGGAATCTCCAGAGAATTGCCTTCCTAGTGCCATGATGATGTGAGCCATAAGCAACTGGGGCAAGCTTCAATAAGAAGAAACACCCACCAGAGGTCCGAATGTTGTCTTGTTCAGGCTCGCACTCCGTTCAGAACACGGATCCACCATCCTCCTCCCGCTCGCACCTCACAGGCTGACGTCTGATAGTCATCCACTTCACCCTTTAGTCGGAAGGTTACGTTGAAGTCAAAATCAGGCTTCGAGGGTCGCATAAGGAGGTCTGGGTGCAATACAGACGTCTATCGGAGGTCCTGGTCATCCGAGGGCCGAACCTAATTCACTTAAATTAATGGACTGGCTTTGAGAACGACATGGCATGATGGACGACGTTTCTTCGATTGTTTATCACATGAACTACACAATACAGTCTGGTCAAACAGGGTGCAGAGAGGTATTGAGTACGAGTCAACTCACCATGTAATCCTTCCTGTAAATGTATGACTCTGAAACCCTTTGTGCGAAAAGATTCTTGCCGCTGCACTTCGCGCGATTGCTTCGATGAATTTCGATGCTGCCCAGCAAATTATCCCTCTGCACCCTCAAACTTCGCGGTCAAGTGTTCAACCGTCCTTGACGCATGATAGGTGAGTCAGTTTGAGGTCGAGAAACCACAAAAAGGCTCACAGGAGGCCTTGATTTCTTCGCCCTCGTCCGAGGACGAAGAATACGCAATGAATTTTGAGAAGAAAGGCTAGACAGAACTGAGATTAACTCAGATTGCGAGTGGTTGCTCGCCGGGCGCCCAGTATTCATGATGGGGAGAAAACCTCAACCGTGGGAACCGCTCTACACCACAACCCTGCGGGCCGCGGCTGAACGCTAGGCTAGCGCTAATCGGAATCGCCTGCTTCCGAAGTCAGAATCAAACCCCGTCGACGGCCTATAAGTACAGTGATTGTATGACCCCGTAGATATCTAATTAGTTGCATCTCCCTCGAGCACAAAGATAAAACTGATCATACGCTTTCCAGGCTCTCACACTTCGTCACTGAGACTCTCGTTGATGGCAAAGGGCAGCCCGAACCATACAAGCTACAATACTCGGGCGGTCAACGAAAATGAATGCATACATAAGCACAATACCCCAACCGACTGCATAACTTACACACGTGAGCAAAGAAAGCGTAGGCTACTAGGTCAGTGCCTCATATTTATCTGAAAATTAACACGATCTCAGTCTCTAGACCGCCGTAACCATCCTGTTCTTGCTCATCTTGTCCTCCGGCGTAGCTATATCCTCTGACTCGGAGGATTCACTCCTATGATGGGTTTGAACGTCCGCATTCGCTTGAACTGTCCTAGTACCGAGCGCCTGCCGACTGTTCCTCTCCGCAAAGCGGATGGTCGTCTCATGCTGAACGCTGTCCGTGACCGACTTCCCGTAGGCAACACGTACAATGATCAGCGTAGGTGCTAGTCCCTGTAAATCGACATTTGAATAACTAAGGATTTATGAACAATCGAGTTCCTCACCGACATCAGAGTGGCAATCGCAGTCAGATGGATTGGAATGGTACCGTGGAATTGTGGATCGAGCGCAAGGGGTATTACCATCGCCGCGATCGAGAACGTCGGATATAACAGTCCCGATTCAAGGCTGCAGAGGGAAATCTGGTTAGATAGCTGTGACTGAAATGGGGAATACTTACATGACAGCAACGATTGTCCTATACCTCGCGTGCACTGTAGGTCCCATGTGTTGTCGTGCTTCTCGACTAATCCACCAAATCCTCCCGGCTACAGTCTCAGGTTAATCACCACGGGGAGGATCATACAAACTGTGAGAACTCACCGGTCGAGAGCGACAGCAAGCTGTTGAATATAATCGTTGCTATCATCCACCCTAATATTATGTGCTCCCCTGTCATGTAAAGGTATTTTTGAGAAGTCCCGATCCCAACAGAGTCTGCGACAGATCCTGCGAGACCTATCGCTGAGTGAGAGATACCCGATATCACAATCAATGTTGCCAGGATAATCGAGAACGAGAGTGAACACACCGTTGATAACGAAAGCTGCGACTCCCAGGACGTACAGCATGATCTTCTTGGAGCCCCAGAGGATATAGCACCGGTGAATCTAAGTCATCGGCAAAACAAGTGTCAAGGTTGGCGATCGCTATCGACATTTAAAGACTCACCAACATAACATCAGCAATAGCACTTTTCATAAGACCGAAATCCTGTCAGCGACGTGATCCTCGAAATTAGACCGCACTCACTTCATCAGAGTGCACGCAGGACCGTCGATAGCACTAATTCAGAGCACGACCACCGTGAGTTCACGAATAAACATAGAACCATCTCGTTTGGAAAAAACACTCACACCCAAGCAATCTTCGCTGGATCATCCCCTGGGGCACGCAAATACCGCATGAGGGAGTCATAATCCCCTGTCCTCAAGGCACGAAACTCTACCACCGCTTGTCGCGTCAAGCCTACAGTTTCTGAAACCACATATAGGCTGGCCAGGAGAAACAGGGAGACGGTACAGGCCATGTATAACCCTGAGGCAGTCACTTTACGGCGGTGGAGAACATGGACAGAGAGTCCAAAGATGATGATGTACATCCCTGTAAGGCTCAGTAATCAATCTTTGAACAACTCGGCGGGTTGACACTATGCTCACCGTAGACTAGGAATAGGGACTAAGTCGAGGCTTTAGAAAGTCACATAGGGAGAGCAGTTGGCTAATAGGATCTCACCGTGAGTGTGGCTATTGGTTCCACAATGATATTCTGTACCGTGAGGTAGCGGTCCTTAATTCGCTGAACGCTAGAGGGAGACATCTTGATGTTAGTGGCCATTCACGGAGTTGGCAGGCCTGTTATACCTCTCAGACGAATAACCTCCCGAACCAATTCGGTATCAAAGCGAACTGCCCTCTCGATAGTGACTATGTTCCGTCCAAACCTTGAACTTGTCCGCACTGCACGGCGGGATCGATGCGAGCAAGAAGAGACTTGTGAGTGCCTTTCGGAGGAAGGGAACGGACTCATATCACCCCGTGCCGTGGCGTATCAGTGTCAATGCTATTTTGGTGTGATGCCTCTTTAGACACGTATGTGGCAGGTTGTTGATACGCTAGTCTGACCACCGCCACCCAGGCCTTGAATGGAGGCCGCCTCATATCATGAGTGCCACACGAACCTCGTCGTCTACTGTGCGCAATAACCACTTCACTGACTTGTGGACAAAGACCAAGCACTTACCTGCCAAAACACTGTCCTAGTATCAGAGTCCTCGATCAGAGTGGCGTCAAGATATCTCTGAACTTGCGCCTCTCTACTCGGAGACTTTGGGCGCATAGTTCTCCCTAGCTTCTGGAGCTGCAAATGTACCTGTATCAAAATCAGTGTTATTTTGGTATGACGGTTAGCATCAGTCCCACTAAGCCCTGCTTGAGCAGGTGATATGAACCGAGTTGGCAGTTGGAACCGAAACCCTATTTCATCCTGAACCTCGAATCTTGCTCAAAACAATCATCGCACTGCACCCGAATCCGATGATCTTAGACCAGTGACCCATCTCTCCGAAACGGATCGCAGACTCTTCGTCGATCGGTCCCCTTAGTCGCTGTCATATAATGGCAAAATCCGAACGGTCGCTTGAATAGACGTGCTAGCAGACTACCTACTTGTTCAGGTTCGGATAAGAGGGTGGCAAAATTCTTTGCAAGAATGTCTTCGAATATTGTTGGTCGATAAAGTGTATGACCAGTATGGTCAGTTAATGGTAACAAACGTCCGAAGGGCTCCTAGTCAGGCTTGAAATTCAAGCAATCTCACCAGCATATCGTCAGATGATATAATGGCATATAGATTGCGAAAACTAAGCTTCCCAAAGCCATGCAGCGGGCTTTCCGTGTCCCACCTTAAATAGGACTCTGGGATGTTTCACAGGCAGTCGGAAGGTGCGAGGTCGCCTAGTGCTCGTCGAGGGACAGGTGAATCCGGATTGGTGGGGGAGCTAAAGGCCTCTATTTACCTTTATCTATCCATTAAATCGTAGTCCTCGTCGATGAAAAAGACGCACCGGTCCCCGAGGCTGCCGCACATCCGAAGCTTTCCCCACTTTCCCCAGTACCCACAACGTAGCTGGCATTCTGTTCATCCGTCCAAGATTTTCAGTCCCCTCTATCCGAGCCGTTCATAAGCAAAGAGCACTGGAGTCCGGCGAAGGGCTACGACATGGCAGATGTTCCGCTCAACTAGCACGCGAGGACCCGCCGGAACATGAAATGAAATGAGATAGTCAATGTCTCTGGAAGCGACTCACCTGGGTTAATTCAGTGACCAGCATAGTCCCACTATGTGGAGGGATAATGGTAGAATCATGAGCCTTTGAACCTGTAGAGAATCTGTCTGAGTCTGCCCCGTTGTGGACGAATCCATCAAAGCTTCATATTGATTAGTATGTGAACGAAAGTCAGGGTGGTAAAGGCTTGGATTCTAGCGTTGAATTCCAATTATCTCACTGCGACACGCCAGGCAGTAGAGTATTTTGAGGATAGAACGAGGAGAAGGCTTGCTAGATGACAGTGGGTGACGCGGACGGACTAAGATGAAAAAGAATGAACTGACTCCTCGATGGAAAGTCACGTTATCACCAAACGACGAATTAGGAAAGAATATTGTCACACCTTCCCCCCGTGAATAGCGAGTTATCAGAGGGAGTACTAAAGTTCGAGATCAAGCTCTTCGTTTGGTAGAGGGCAGTCTCTTGGTTCGGCAGTACCGTCGTAGGAGTTGAGAAACAAGTTGAAGAGACAGTTTGATCCCAGGACTCGTACATTCCTTGCGTTTGCGTCATACATGATCTGCCTATCTATAAAGTCACCGGCCGCCTGGCGAAATGGCATCGCGTCTGACTACGACTTCATTGGAGTATCAGGAGATTGCAGGTTCGACCCCTGCGGTGGTCATTGTGAACACATAATAATTCTTTTGTTTTCTCTCCTTAGGATAAGGTTGCTCTACCACTTTGGCGACAGGAGAAGCAGCTGAAAATGGAAGCTGAGAAAACATTTTCACGACGAACGGTGTACACCACATGAAAATGGCACTTCAAGTCCGCCTGGTCAGCCTCGTAATCGGTCCGCCGACACCCGAAGGTTCATAATCATGGACCGAGCACCAACCAAACACAACTTGTCTTCCAACCACGACGACCACAACGACATGCCCCTAGATCTCCTCCTACTTTTGGCATCACTTGTGCGGCGCTCGAATGTGATCGAGCTGCGAGCTTACCTGATAGCACTCTCTGTCAATATAACACAGGATTCTCGGTGTCCGACGCCGAAGTTCCTCGACGCTTGTAGGGACAACTCGACTCTGACCCAGATTCTATCAAACAGTGTTTCTGTCCCCTTTTTATGCCTTATACAACCAGGAACCTTCGCACAACAACTCAAGATCGAACTATATCCCCAAAAATCGGCTCTTGTGGAGATTTCCACTATCAACGCGTCTCTTGCTCGTCTCTTGCTCGTTAGGCGTAGCCTTCGTTTGAAGGGTCGAAGTGCTCTATAAACTTCAATCCGCAACTTGGGCCTAGGTCCAATTAAAACACGGATCTTTCGAAGTTCGCGTCAATCCAAGAAAAAATCCACATAAACACCCACACCGCTTGAAGCTTGAAGTCCAAAAAAGACGAGCAGAATGCCGATCAAACGCTATATCTACGTAGTGCGGGGAGTCAAGCCATCAACCGGTCTCAAGCGTTCAATTCAAGGTGCCGATTATCCGACAGAAGTTTTCGGGTTTCAAGTCAATCTCCTGAAATCTTGAAGCCTGTGCTGCGTGCGTGCTCGTCTCGCTAGTCAGTATCTCGATGGATAGGGGTATCGATAAGATTGCTATTGGCCGCTTCCAAAGACTTTCGCCTGTCCTCAAAACCATTCAAGTCTGTTGGAGATCCAGATGTCGCGTCGCGGGGAGGGATGACTTACTGCAATTCACCCAAGAGACTACAGAGAATTTGGCATCGAATGGGCACTGTTTCTCTATATAACGGTTCCAGCTGGGAGCCGTCGCCAGGTAGCACACCATATCGGCCAACGCACGTCGGGGACAAAGTCGAACTGGTACCTCAATGGCACAGGAGTGGGGTCGCGGCGACTCGACTATAAAAAGAGGCCGACCTCGTGGACGATTTTGGGCTGAGTCTCATTGTCTTCTTGTTCCTCTCGAGCTTTTTCTCTCCCTTTTTGACTTCTGGGTCCTTCTTTGTGTCGAGAACGGACTTGATTGGCGATGATATATGATTGTTGGGACCATCGGATTCATATTCCATTTTCTTCAAACTTATATTCGTCGCCTTTTACTTGTCGTTTCTACCTCATGCTCAACATGCGTTACTTCCGTTACTTTCCCGCTCTTTTTATCGTCGTCCTTGCCTTGACCGATGTCGCCCTTTTTTTGCCCACCCGGCCCCACCCAAAGTAAGTGAATTTTACCCGGCACGCTTCCTAATACTGCCTCGTTGTTGTGAAGGGGACCTGCTAGCACTCTCTAGTATCCACTCACTGCTCACATCACCTCAAACATAATGAAATGGCCCGGAACAACTTTACCTGATACTGAGTACCGCGTGTCTGTGAACGAGTGTTTCTGATGGAGTCGGCTGCTGAAGGTCACTCTTCTAATGTCCTCGGAGGTCCTCAGCGTGAAAACGTTCAAGTCTTAACTGGCCTGCAAGTTCCCCGCTGTTTTGACTCCATACCTCGTGCCAACTTCGTGTATCTGGTCTTGGAGGCCTTCTCCGCACCTCTCCTTACCCCAACGGGTTACTTCCCAGTGTTTTCTGCAGGTTCCAAGACTCTCGTGAACACAGTGGATCCGGCAATTTGGTTGAGCAGGTTTTGAAAGGCATGGAGTCTATACACCAATGAATCTATCTCCCTCTGTTATCTCTGCTCTAACTTACCAAAATTCCCGGTCTGACGTGAGAAGAGTCGGGGGTGCCCATGGTTTTGTACGTGTGCAAGGACGTGCCGTGTTATCTATCGATATCGAATGACTTGTTGCTCGAAGGGTCGCCACGGACAAGCCGGTAAGTTATGTTTAGTTCACTCCCCATCATCGCCTGTTTTGTGGTTCTGGCTGAAATGATCTTCCCCTCCGAGTCCCAATGTTCGGACTTTATAGTAACATACGGCCGTCGCGAGTTTATATGGATTCTATGCGAATACGAGGAGAACCTATGTGGGTCAAAGCCTGTCAAAGCCACCGTGGTGACTTCCGCGGCACGCGTTTTGCATCTGTATGTCGACGATCAAAGCGACTGAATAGTATTGTGATGATAAAAGTATCACGGACGTTGTTTAATTGACATGATGCATGTCGGTACGTAGGTTACGGGTATAGCAGTTTTGGGCAACTCTAATTCCTGCTGAGGGGATAAAGAGCAGATATCATCATCGTTGGTAAAAGTCAGCTCAAGTATGATAGAGGCGCAGAGAGAGAGGGACATAGGGACAGGCACCGGGAGCAAGGGCCCTGAGCCCGGCTAAGCCAACTACGTACATTTCTCCGAAAGCGGAACTGGGATTGCGTAAGTGACACGTGGATTTTCGCCGCGATCGGACAAAAATTCAGGTTATCGAAATCCCCCATCCTTCCTTCCGCCCGCGTTGTTCCTTCTCTACACTCAAGATCTCTCTTTTTTCTCTCACACCGTACTTTCTCTACTCCCCAAGTCTCCAGATTCTGGCCAAATTCTCTGTCCACGACCAATTTACGACTAAATTTCGACTAAAATCTATCCGAAATTATGACTACACTGGCAGCACCCGTGGCCCTCCCTGCATCGGATATCTTGAACGGCCATGGCCACGTTCATGTGTCCATGAACAGTGCAAATTCCCCCATTTCTTCACCAGTCGTATCCTCGTTATCGCCGGTGACTTCGCCCTCACCGCCAGCATCGACCACATCGTCAACGACTTCCTTAGTTACAGCAATGGAGACACACCTCGTTGACGGTGCCGGCGTTGCACGTCACGTTCTCCTCCTCCTCGACATCCAACGTTGCAACCTTTCTGATCCTCCAGTTGGTGTACCAGACTCTCAAACCCTTCGCGAGAACATATATAGAGTCTTATCTCAAGCACGGTCAAGCGATCCGAAACCGTTGATCATACACGTTCGGAACGCGGGTGATTCTGGAGAGCCAGATGAATACGGGTCAAAAAGTTGGGACTTGGTATGGGAGGTTGAAGAGGGCGAGGGCATCATTGACAAGAGGAAGAACAATGCCTTCGCGGGAACGCGGTTAGGAGAATGGGTACGTGACGATGCGGAGATTGTGGTTGTCGGGGTCATGAGTGATTACTCTATTAGGGCTAGTGAGTTCTTGGTTCTTCGCACTAAACTTGTCTGCTCACCGCGTTTTCCACGCAGCTTGTTCAACAGCACTGGGCCGAGGCAACGAAGTTCTTTTAATCAGAGGTGCACATGGGACTTATGACCGAGTGGAGGTACTTTACGGGGGTGGCGTGACTCCCGCCAACAATATCGAGACCGAAATCGAGGAGGAACTCGAAGAGGCTGGCGTACATGTGCTGGAGATGAAAGATATCACTGGTATCTTCACAGACCGGTGACCGACAGGCTTTGATTTTCCTGGAGTCTATAGGCCTTTTTTCAGTGCCTTTTTCATTTGTTTCCTTCTTCGCTATTCACTGCTTTGGTCTTACTTATTTAGTTTGCTTTTTCGTTTTTCTCTACTGGTTTCCTCAATCCCCAAGTGTATGATAGGCCCTATTGGCAAGCAAGTTCGCATCCTTACATTCATATACCGAGTCGCAGCGTTTCTATCATTACCTACAGTGTCCTACGGTCCTAGAGACCTTAATTGTACCACTTCTTATATATAGTAATTCAGCGTGCTCACTTCTCAGTCTAGTTCTCTATCCTTTTGGTTTTAGAGGGATTTTTGGAATTAGGCGCGTCAAAGCACCGTTTTCGTGCTGTGCAGTCCCGCGGTCCCCATATCTAACGCCCATACGCACCTACAACTGTGAGCGGCGAACAATCATACCCCGAGTAATTCCAAGCCTTCAGTACTTCTTTGCTCATCTATATCACACACTACAAGTAGGTCAACTCGAATTATTAGGCAGTTCTTTCTTCCTATAGATTATTGACTTTTGAACGTTCGAACACTTACTGTAGGCTGACTGAGCGTGGGACTCAAATTCCCAATCTGTATATCGATCTTGTACTCGAACCGCCACCTTGCCCTTGACTCATGCTCAGTATGATCCGTATTTTCTCTGCTCTCCAAGACTCACAATGCCAATGCGGGTGCCATATTGCCTCTGAACGCTCAGTGTCATCTACGCGATGATGTCAGGCTTAAGGCACGAAGTTTTTGCTCACAAACTATCCCGTGACGGCGGTAGTAAATAGGCTATCATGTCGAACGAAATCGTTCGCTATCTACCGTTCCTATTACTGGCTATCATCTCTGTTCAAGCTGTCCCGGTGTTCATTGCCGTCATGCTCTCGAAATCCGTATCACGGGTCGTGACTCGTTCCATTATCTTCAACACGCAGCACTAAAGATATCGGACAACTTGTGGAACGAACATTCATCTCCTCTTTGTTCGGAAGCCAGTGACATGGTCATGCACTTCATTATATCGCCACACATACACATCTCCCGCTTACAGTGCTTCGGTGGATCCGAAGAGGGGTTTATACGGCTTCTAGTTATCTATTGCTCACACTCTCCAGGGCCACCGGCCCTTTCATCCTATACCCGTACCCTTCACTTCCAGCACCCAAAATGACTGTTCACGCAGAAGAGAAGATCGAGAAGGAAGAGCTGGTCCGGCAAGCCGATGAGGAGCTCCTCGCATCTTTGGGTTACAAACAAGAGTTTAAGCGCGCTTTTTCGCCTCTCGAGGTTCGTTTT